GTCCAGCCCGGGATCATCACATATGTTGGCCGCAAGCCCGCCTGCCACCGCTCACTCAAGCCGGCCTCCGCTCACTCTAGCCCGCCTGCCGTTCCTCACTCAGCCCGCCTGCCGTTCCTCACTCTAGGCCACCGGCCTCCGCTCACTCTAGGCCACCGTGTGTGGCGCTGTGTGTGACGTCGTTTGTGAAAGCGAAACTACTTTGTTTGGCCTTCCAAAAGAGGACACAACTAGAAATCAGTGGTTAAGTTGTATTTACAACACTGTTCCAGAACAGTTCAACCCAAATATTCAGATGTGTGCAGCGCATTTTGCGGAGGATGAGGACTGTTTCCTGTGAGAGTAGCCTACAATGCGGTGTCTGTTTCTATAAAGTGGGGCAGTTCCAACTTTGCAAGGACAGTCTGGATCTCGTTTGTAATGGGTTTTATTGTTTTTGTCTTGTCGCGCACAGGGCATCACAGTATGGTAAGAGGCGTAACATTTCCGTCACATGCTTGAGGTATTCAGCCAATCACAATGCACTGGATAGCTGGCCAATCAGCGTACACCTCGCTTTTCAGAACGATGAGATTTGTAAAAATCGATGCGTTTCAGAAAGGCGGTGCATAGAGGAGAAACAATAATGTACAGTATGTGGAAAATAATGTGTTTTTTTAACCTTAAACCGCATAAACACATCGCATTACACCAAATATACAACATAATGTTCTTTTTCAGCAACTTCATATGACCCCTTTAAATGTAAATATTTAAAATCATCACAGAAAATATACAAATATTAAATATATAAATATGTTGTAACATTATAAATTACTTTACTGTCACTTTTGATCAATTTAATGCATCCACACTGAAAAAAAGTAAATAAAAATATTTTCTGCAAGTAAAACAAAAAAAAGATTTAAAATCATATATCCTGACATCTACAATCCAGAAAAGTCCAGACAGATAATGGTAGTGAAATGCATATGAAAATATATAAATATTGTTTCATGGCATTTACAGTATGTACATTAACTATTATTTATCTGTTAAGTATTTAATGTTTGTATTATTATGAAGTGTTCCCTAAAACCAGCCTCATTTAATTTCATATGATGCATTAGTTCTGATCTGACAGTCTATTGTGCATTAGGGGAAACGCAGCACTGTGGGGCGGATGTGTATAATGCAGCTTTTGGTTATAAAGAAGATTTAGCTTTGGCTAAAAGCAGCATAAACATCTTTAGTTCCATTTACAAGCTATAATTGGATCAGCTGCTGCTTTCCACAGAAATGTACCTGGGAAACACAATCATGTACAATTTCAAAGTCATAAAAAAATCCAAGTGCATTTTGGTACACTGCTAACAAGCAGAAGGTTGGTTTTCATGTAATTTGTCTTGAGTAAACAGCAAAAGCAAACTCTTTACAGGAAGTAACAAGCAAGTTGTGCAAGGGAATCCATCAACACATAATTCACTGGATATAAAGAGAAGAGTTTACGCCTTCAAGCTTTTGCCTGAAGAAAGAACCCCTAAATGCAGCCTATGGTAAATTGTAAAATGATGATTTCTCTGCACTGTTGGACACCACACATTCAAACAATATGGCCTCCCTGTGGGTAATAAAGAGAAACACCAGTCTACCTGCTTGCTGTGTGTTTTGGTCTTTATGGATGTGATTTAGAGGGAAAACGGGGGCATCATCATGAGATCTGGACTGAGATATGTTCTTTGTGTGTTGTGGGTGTGTACCTTGAACCACAGTGTAGGACGCCTCTACGGACGAGAGATTAGTGATGACCGTGATATCATCATCTCTGTTTGAGCTCTCCATGTCAATATTGATGGTCTCCTCCATCTCACGATGCAGACTGGTCACCACACCAGTGGGATATGTGACGTTGGTTAGACGACCCTCACTGTCATAGCTGTGAAGAAGAGATACAAGACAAAACTCACTAATATGAATATAATAAATAGCCAGCAGTGTCTGCAGAATTTTTTTTTTTAATTTATAATTAATTTTTAATGTTTTAAATTATTTGATACCAATGTTATTTTAATACTATTTTAGCAAAAAAGCAAATAAAAATGACTAAAACTTAAACTAAAATAAAAAAGAGAATACAAATAAAAGCTAATTTAAAACATTAAAAATATTATAATAGATACTATTATGTTTTTAATATTTTAAATTAGCTTTTATTTGTATTCTCTTTTTTATTTTAGTTTAAGTTTTAGTCATTTTGTTATGTGCCTTTGTAATTTTTATTAGTTCTTAATATTTCTATATAGCTTTTTTAGTTTCAGTTTCATTTTAGTGATTGTAATACTTCAACTTTAGAACAAGGCAGGTTTTTTTAATTGAAAGTTTTTCATTTAATATTTGTATTTTATTTCAGATTTTTTTCAACAACTGGCAATTGGAAAAAAGCATATATATATATATATATATATATATATGTTAATAAAATAAAAGTTAATAAAATACAAATTCTAGTTTTAGTTAACAATAAAACACAACTGGACATCTATTTAATGTCTAGAGCAGTTCTAGCATACAGACACTAGATGGCTGCAGGACCAAAGCAGTACTGTGAAAACATCCTCTGCTCTGACACTAGATGAAGATACCAGTCAGATGATAACCACAGTGCTTAGAAACAAAAGTCAAAATTCATTGTCTATAAAGAATTTTGAACAGTCACACAACTTTTGCACTAACAATTTTTAGCAGAAAAACCTGCATTGTATTCTCTATCCAGCTTAACAAAATGCTAAATGCACTGAAACATCACTAGGTCATTTTAAATGAACTCAATATCAATAATTTCATTGCAAACAAGCCTCCTTTTATGTCAATTGGGCTTAATATAGATTACCTTATTAACATTGCACAATAAACATTGTTATTACTACCCACGAAAAACAGATGCAAACAGAATTTTAATAAAAAGTTTTACTGCATATTGCAGCAGTTATTCATCAGACGATAACCAAACACATGTCTAGAGATGCAGTGACGCTATTAGCCTTTTCAGCATTTTAAAAAGTAAGTTATTCTCATTGAATTCCTCCTGAAACTTTTTGAATAGTGAGTTTTTTAAACTTTTTTTATTATTATTATTTTCTTTACGATTTCCAGATTTGCCTTTATCTCAAAGTTCTATTATCACACTGCACATTTCATACTCACTTGTAAAAGTTTGTCCATCCGGTCTCATCTGATTTGGAGGCTAAAAGTTCTGTGTTAGTGTAATAACCGAGCTGTGCCACTTCCTGACTGAGGGCGGACACTGAACGTAGGCTGCCGGCTGGGTCCATTCCCAGTGTTACCACCTGGTTCTCTGGCAACAGCACAAGCCTGATAGAGCCAGATGCCTCCCTCCTCACCCGAAGCGTATTGTTAGAGGCATCAGTAACTGCTGCCAACTCTCCGTCCAGCCCGTAGGTAAAGTTATACAGTGCTAAGCCTGTAATGAGGCTAACCGTCTGCCTATGAAGGCCGTCAGGACCAAACACATATAGCTCCTGTTCTAGAGATGAACCCACTTCATATTGTCCACTCGCTGTGGCATTGGGGCGGTTGCTGTGGATTGAACGTACACGGATATTGTTCAGGTCAGCGATGTACAGGGTACCATCTGGTGACACAGCCAGCGAAGCGGGACAATTGAGGCTGGTGTCCGCAGCATAGCCTTCATCTCCTGAGAAACAGTTGCAGTTGATGTCATTCTTGCAGTCGCATTCAGAGGCAGCACCGGCAAGCAGGGAGATCTCACCGCTGGTGCTAACTTGCCGTATGCGGTTGATGCGCTTCTCGTCGGTTTCAGCAATATAGAGCACACCTGTGTGGGAGATGGCGATGGCTGTGGCGCTCTCCAAGGCAGAATGGATGGCTAGTTTGCTGAGAGAGTAATCAATGCCAGGGACCTGGCAGTGCATGGGCCGCCCTGCAATAATGCTGACCTGGTGGTTCTCAGAGATACGCAGGATGACGTTATTCTCCAGCACATACAGAGAGTTGTCCATAGGGTTGATGGCCAGGTCTGTAGGCCACTCCAGACGTACCTGAAACATTAAAGGTGAAGAGTACATTAACACAAAAAAAGAACAATAATTGGGCATGTTGAGCAGTTGTGGTCTGAGTGTAAATTCAGCTTTGCCCAGTGGAATTTCCCTGCCTCTGCTTTTGATATCTCCCATTCTGTTCGTTTGATCCCCAAAGGGGATCTGTTTTATCCTTGCTTCTGGTCAAACTGAGTGCATTTCCCATTTCTGACAGTAGATTTCCTTCTGGCATTAAAAAAAAAAAATTATGTGTTACAGATTCTTCCTAGTGGAACGAATCAGCAGGTCTATGAATTTATTACAGTGATAGACAAATGATGACAGCTGCTTGATTGATAATCCAGTTCCATTGTTTGTCACTCTCATTGTCAAACGTTAATACCCATGGAGACACTCTGACAAACAAATATTGGCTAGCGAAAGCTCAAACACACAAGGATGAAACATTAAGTATTTCACAGCGCAAACTGAAATAAACAGGCTGAAATGTGTTTACACAGCTGTGTTTCACAGTTTATCTTAATGCTTCATGGGGCCTGTAAATTGTAAAAAAAAAAAAAAGAGTAGTGAGTAGGTTACTTGTAAAAATGATTTAGTTTAAATAGTTATTTCCTGAATTTTTACTGTTCTTTTTATTAATTACACTGTATTTTTACATTGTCAAAACCTCTACATTAAAACATCAATGATGACAATCTCAGCCAGATGTTGTTTTTTTTATACAAGCACGTTTGATCAATATTACTTTACACAGGGTGACATCAAATTAATTTATAATATGCTCTGGTACACGAATTATCTCTCTCTGATTCCATAAAATAATCTTGATAATTAACCGTTAGTTTTAATGGATTGTTTCTATGCAAAGACACAAATTGCATTGCTTCTGCATGAAAAATGACCTAAACAAATGACAAATGAAGCTGACTCATTTTCATATCCATTGAGATTAATTGGTGTATGTATCTGACATACAAGAAGTTAATTTGAACTTGCACACACTGCAGACAAATTCAAGTAAGATGCAATATACATCTATACACATTATAGGGCATCTGAATTATGCACTTTAGTACAGATTTCAACAACTGTTCATTTATTTTTAGGAGTCTGAATTGCAAGTTGAGGAAAGTAATTACAACCTGGCTGACGTCCATGCTGGCGTCACAGCTGAGGGGCCTGACTGCAGTAAGGTCATTGGTCTTTATCAGAGTGGAGATAATGCCATTCTGATCCACTTTTCGTATCATAGTAGCATCCACAAAGTACATCAGGCCGTTCTTATCCAATGCAACACCTGCATGAAAGAACGGACAGTGAAGAAACTCAATACTCGTGCATGATAATGCTCATATTAAGACATGCTATAAATTGTATGATTTTCAACAATGTAGAAAACATTCACCTGGTATTAAAATGTCAGTTAAGACATAGTTATCTATTGTTATAATTGTCTAATTATGGTAATTTTCTTCTTCTTAAACTTCTCGTCAATGTCACTGCAGACTCTCCTAAAGAATTTCACTGCTCCCCAAGTATCTGATTGATTTCCCTCCCATTCCGATATTCCAGAGAGCAAAGGTGTCTTTAAAGGTAAAATAATTAGTAGTCTGTGTGTGTAGGAGCAATGACCTGGAAAAGAGTCAGGCGCTGTGCTGCTCGACTGCTACAGTTTGAGTCAACCTGTCACGGTGATCATGTCAGAGTGCGTTTTATTCTGAGATAAGAAGGCAGAGTCTGTCTCTGAGTGCAGTCTGCTAACCTTATGATCTCTCTTTACCTTCTGTGTCATTTATTTTCCTCACATCAGTGGTGGAATGATGTCTGGAGTCTAGAGAATTACAGGTTACTGAGGTTTGTGATAGCACAGAAAATGACAGCACCCGGTAACTGTCTAAGAGATTAAATGTTGATGCTTTCTAGGTTCAAGGAAAATAAAAATGCTTCTGTCGTAATTGTAAAGCATCACAGCATTGAAATGCTGCTTTGTCTTGCGTAAAAGCTAACTTTGAAGAAGTTCAGGGTGTAGTATATAGTAAGGTATGGTACCGTGTGTAATTTTTGCCCCTCCCAACTCACAGAAAGAGAAGAAAAACGGAATATTTCCTTAAAAAACTTCACCTCTTGGGCTCATTAGTGTGGCCTCCACTGCCTTGCCTCCATCACCACAGTGAGCCTCATCGAACGGGACGCACTGCTCTCCCGTCCCCGCCACCACCTGAGCGTTATCCAGCAGCGGTCGTGCCCCATTCAGAGAGCGAACGCGGTAGATCTGCCGGGAGTTGGTGTCTGACAGGAACAAAGAACCCGACACCGGATCCACTGCCAAGTAGTACTTATGGCTTGGACTGTTGCTATGGAAATAGGGCAAATGGGAGAATGTCTCTTAATAAAATCCTCTGAAAAAAAGCATGGTTACCTTGGTGAACATGATGAAATGAACTATTCAGTTCATTGCTGGTAAAGTAATTGGAGCTCAAAAAAGAAAACTCTGATAGAAAAGAAAAAAAAAAGCCCTGAGTGAAATTCTGCTACATACAATGAACTGCAGAAAAGAGTAGGACACAGGCACAACAAATCTGCACAAATCAGACACATTAGCATGCTATTTAGACATGCACACACATGATAAATATTTTTACATTATGCATTTATTTTAATTACCTGTGTCTTAAATCTTTATTTCTTCATGGACAAGGGAAGAGAAGAGAAAAATAATGCATCAGTTACAATAAATCAATAAAGTATCCAAACATATAATTGCAAAAGCTATTCCAGTTGTTAAAAACAACATTCTATCAAAACTGAACTTATTTTTTTTTCATAATAAATGTCCTTGTTGTAGTAGTGCATGATTCATCAATGCATGTCAAGTGTTTATTATTATCCTTCATCAAACTGCAATAAATGTTGACTTTGTGGTCAGTGCAAGTGCTCTGACATATTGAGCTGTGGTGCTCACGGGAAACCCTTGATTTCACGGAACAATATCAAATGACAAGTTTTAATTATTATTATCTTCTTCTGACAGCTTTTCCTGTCATCGGATCTTGGAATTCAAGCCTCATTCATTTTTTATTTAAAAGTTAATTGCTGATTTCATTTTTTTTAGAACCAACTCCAGACAATTATTATTTCAGCAGAATATTTAGTTATACTCAATAATGCCTTATATTAAAGAGGTGAAATTAATTACAAATGCTGTTTTAATGTTGTCAGCTGTGCATCCTATCAGCTTTACCTGAGCTCCAGTACAGCTGTGGTATTGAGGGACGGATAGACCCTCCGCACAAAGTTAAGGTCACCCACGTACAAGTTACCCTCTCCGTCACAGGCTACAGCCATCGGCGCCAGCAGCTTGTTGCCCTCAGCCATCCCACTGCAGCTTGGGCATGAGATGCTGCGTCTTCGGCCGTTACCCATAATACTGTTGATGATGGGTGGCTGCTGCTGGGAGAGGAAGATATTCTCACCGCTGCCCTTATGAAGGATGCCTGTGTGAATTAAATCAAACACTGCCACTAAGCGCAACTGAGTGAGATTCCAAACATGACATATTTCTAATGGTCTTTACACGCACAAATGTGATGCTTAAATGAAAGCATCAATTTCTACAGTGTGACATATTTATTGCATTTCATGATCAATAGTGTGAAACCAGCAGTCATTAAAGACCTCATAATCATCAATAACGACCAAAAAAAAATTGCTGGTCCCTCAAACACACAGAAGTTTACCCTAATACAGCGATGAAATTATGAGCAATGACAAATGTGCATAAAAAGAGCAATATTAGGCAGAATATTTGTTTTATAGTCCACTGGCATGCTCTCCATCTCTATGTCCTTATTTGACTTTCCACTAGCCAAGCTCCAATCACAATAAATTGTTTTTCTTTTAACACCAACCTCCCTATCTCCTAAAGCAAGGGAATACGTCTTCGGAAGGAGAAATTTAGTTGCTGCAAAAGCCTGAAGATAAACAGGTGTGAAAAAGGATGCAGTAACTTCTGTTCTATAATGGTGTTTAATACCAACACATTTCGCACAGTGTGAGGAGACTGATGTCACTTCTGAGTTCTTCTGCCCTTCCCTAATGAGTGTATTAACTTCTATATGAATAGGTGTTTCCATATCATACCGCTGCGGACATTCAGCATGTGGTGTTTGTCTAGAGACCAGCCGCCCAAGTTTGAGGGGTTGAGCTCGTATCCCTGCAGCACAGCTGTCCTCTTCTCCCACAGGATCTGACTGGGACACGTCTCATACTCATACCCCACAGACACTATAGAGAAAGATTGACAGATGGAAAGAGGGATAGGAAAGGAACGTGAAGAATGAAGGCGAAAATGACAAAGAAGGAAGACACTTAGAGGAAGAGCAAAGCTGTGCTATCTTAATTAAACACTCCATCACAGAGCGGGGACATAACAATTCATTAGCTCACAGGAAGAACTTGCTGCTGGCACACACCATAATGGATGAGAGACAGACAGTCATTAAAATACGAAACTATCTGTGTTTTGGAGCTCAAGAGAAGACACTGAGCTTAAGAGAAGACACTGGGGAACAGACAATAGCATAGACAAGAAACAAGATAACAGTTAAAATACACCTGTTTCCTGACATGACTCCATATCCCACTTACCCAAAGCCTCGGTCAGGCCATGGACCCTCTGCCTATAGGCATCAGTCTTGTCCCAGATATAAGTGTAAGCCAGGTTAGGAGATGCATGGAACCATTTCTGAAGGAGATGACCCTCCACGGCCACCATCAGGTGCACTTTGGCCAGGCTGAGAGGCACTGGAGCTGGGGTCATGATCACCTTTAGCAGTGAGAGGTAGCCTGAGGTCCTGGAGCTCAAATAGCAAAGTTTAAGACCGGTGCCGGGAATCTCCACCTGTTCATGAAGCACCTGGACAGTGAGAGGAAGCGAAAAGTGGGTTAATGGCTTCTAAAAGTGCTAAAAATCTAAAATTCTTGCAGCTGCTGTCAGTCTTTAAAAACTACCTCAGAGAGGAGATAAAAGAGATGAATTGTGAGCAGGGGAGATAAACCGTGATTGCGAGAAGGTATGAGGATGTGAATGAGTCAAAAGGAGTTCAAGAGCAAAAACGATGATTAACAACAAAAGACCAGAATATAAAACGCAAATAAAAAGCCAACGGAAGAATGTAATGACCTACGCGGGCGTGAATTAAATGAGAAGTGATGATAGTGGTGTTGAATGCGGCACCTGGCTCTCAGGGAGGATGTGTTTCTCTGAAGGGTTGGAGCTGAAGAAAGAGGACAGTGGGGACGGAAGAACCACAGGATCAGGCCTGACAAAACCGCTCAGGTCACATCTGGCCGTGGTTTTCTCCTTCGTTTGTAGCACCACAGTGTCCATGGTGTAGAAGCGATTCCAGGGCAGCCACACCGTCCGTTCCTGACTCAGAAATGGAGACCGCTCAAAACGCAAAGTCAGAGAGCCTCCACCGTTGGCCACCAGATCAAAACTAGAAAGCACAGGAGATATACTTCAGTACATACTCAACTGCATGTGGACGTATAAAAAGGGGCTTAAATAATGTGAAGTTACTCACGTGCCATCCTGGCGGGTCATGGTGTGACCATAGTGCGGGTACTTCACAAAGGTCACGTTGACGCCCACCAAAGGAGTGCCATCTGAGGTCAAAACCTGACCTCGAATCAGAGATGCCAGGCTACACACATAAATACAATATTAGAGCATGATAAATTTAGTAATTTAGTCTATCACAGCACAGGGCAGATGAGGTACCTGGCATTGAATGGGTTGATTCCTGGTATGATATGAGTGCTGTCTTTACCCACAAGCATCTTGATTCTGTCATAAAAGGATGGGACTTTCTGGACCTCTGATTGGCTCTGCTGAATAACCTGAAGTGGGTCACGTGATCCACGGCACAGAGGATTGGTTACACAAGAGCTCTGCGTGCAGCAGTCCGGATCCATACAGTCAACCAGACCATCTGAGTGGAAAAGATGTCACCACATGTCATAAGCTTTAGGTCTGTAACATGCATTAGCAATGTGATACATGCATTTTGTATGAAAATAAACCCACACTAGGGTTGTCACGATACCAAAAATTCAGTACTTGATAGAAATGTCAGGGCATAACTAATATATGCCATTGAACATACTTTATTTTACATAAAATACATCAATATTAATATAAACATTTCAAATGAAATATTAGCAATGGAATAAAGACTTAGCAGCAATTTTGCTGTAAAATCTTCTAACGCACACTACCGTTTAAGAAACATATTTTTTTATTAATTTTTATTCAGCAAATATGCATTAAATTAATTACAGGTGACAGTAACGACATTTATAATATTTAAAATGATTTGTATTCCAAATAAATGCTGTTCTTTTGAACTTTTATTCATTAAAGAATCCTGAAAAAAGCAGCACAACTGTTTTCAGCATTGATAATAAGAAATATTTCTTGAACATCAAATCAGCATATTAGAATGATTTCTGAAGGATCATGTGTAATGGCTGCTGAAAATCCAGCTTTGCCATCACAGGAATAAATTACATTTTAGAATAGATTCAAATAGAACAAAAAAAGTTATTTAAAATTGTAATAACATCTCACAATATCACTGTTTTTACTCTATTTTGATCAGTCTTAGTGAGCATAAGACACGTCTTTCAAAACGATTAAAAATGTCTAATTTGCAGATTGGCTATTTTGACACATATCTGATTTTTTTCTTAATTAAACTTAATTAACCTTGCATGTTTATCTCTTCATGAAAATAATTTTTCATGTGTTCAGCTGCATTTTACTGAAGTATTGAACAGAATTTGTACTCAATATTATCGATACTATAGAAAGGCATGTTTTTTTTTTTTTTAGAATCGCTTGGTTCTGGAAGTACCGGCACATTTGGCGTCCCTAGCACACACAGTTTCGATGTTTCAGAGTGGCAGATGGTTTAAAGGGACTTCTGAAAACTCTCAGTTCATCTGCCATCTTATTCTCAGTTTGTGTACTTTTGATGAACCCTTCTCAGTTCAAACCTCTGTGCTGCTTTGATGTCAAGAGAGGGAGACAAATAATATGATAAAAAAACATAATAAGCTCAAATGTAGAACTTCTCATCATTATGGAAATGAAAATGAACAAATCTATTTATTTATCCCCATTGGGGTAATGAGCTCAACTGATGGATATGATCACTGAATTGAATGATGCTCTAGTTTCTCTCTCTCCTGATTTCACTTTTAGAGAACTTACATCAAAGTTACAGAGGGCATCGCTTACACCCCTGAGAGCTTCCTTTCCTGTTTCATCTTCCTTTCTCTCTTCCCATCTCTTATTTGCCACATATCGCAGTTCAGTGTACATGTGCACCGTTTCAACACTTCTCCCTAAATGGGTCTTTCTTGATCCGGAACAAGCTCACAACAAGCGTGACTTTTGCTCCATGTTGTTTTGCCTGGTGCTCTCTGATCTCTGAGGTTTCTGTGAAGTAACCCCCAAACGAAGAGTAAACAAAAAAAGAGAGAAGAAAGAAGCAGGAAGTTGTGTATGTCTGGAGAACGCTTGTTTGTGTCTGGGTCAGATTGAGCAGTAAGTTCAAATGCCTGCTTTGACAAGTATTTTGTGATCACCTTTAAAATGTTATCCACAAGTATAATTAAGATGATAAGCAAATTGAGATCCCCTTTGCCCTTCTATATATAATTTCCTGTCCTCTCTCTATTCTAATAATAAATATTCTGAAGAACATTTAGAAAAACAATCACCCACCTTTAAAATAATCAAATGTTATTGCTTTGCAGCCTGAAATGAAGGACAGTTTTGTTTTTATCCAGCTGTATCTACTCAGTGCAACTCTGCTCTTATCCAAGTGAAAGATATAACACCAACATGTCAGAAAAAAATTAAAAAACAGAATCACTGAGTTGGAAAAAGGATCACCCCCTCCTAAAAATGGCTTGTAATCAGGTGTAGCTAATCACCTTCTCAATGGAACATAAAGCCATTTGACATTCAGCTGTGATCAGCTGTGGTCATTTTGATTAGCTCAGCATGAAAAGAGCTTTCCTGGAGCATTTGCAGTGCAACTGAAGCAAACAATCAACTATGGATGGCAAGGCACTGTCAAAAGATCTCCGGGATAAAGTTGTGGACAGGCACAAGTCAGGAGATGGATACAAAAGAAAAAATGCAAAGGCTTTATCAATGCCTAGAGCCACAGTGGAGTCTATTATTAAGAAGTGGAAGGTATTTGGTACAACACAGACCCTCCCTGGATCAGCACGTTGCTCCAAACTGAAAGAAAGAGCCAGGAGGAAACTGGTCAGAGAGGCTACCAAGAGCCCTACAGCAACTCTGAAGCAGCTGCAGGAATTTATGACAAAGAGTGTTCATTGTGTGCATGTGACAACAATATCACAAATTCTCCACAAATGTGGCTTGTATGGGGGGGGTGCAAGAAAAAAGCCTCTCCTCAAGAAAGGCCTCATGCAGTCACGATTGAGCTTTACCAAAACACACCTTGAAGATTCTGAGGCAGATGAGACTAAAATTGAATTAAAATCCTGTTATGGGGTGTTTCTCTGCAGCAGGGACTGGAGCACTTGTCAG